AGAACACATTCATCCACTAATTATATGCAACAGACATGGGAATAAAGCGAAATCTTTTGCACAACTGATCACGAACACTGGATAACTGAAGTCAATGCTATAAAGCACAGTAGAACAAACACTATATGCAGCATATCAGAGAAAGAACGCTTTTTTATTTTAATAATATACTACAAGTAAAAACACTGAATAGTTGTGAACCACATTCAATCCTACTAAAGGACTACGAAGTGACTACTACTACTTCTACTGTTCTCAACTGTTTTTCACTTTAATGGGATAGTCCTAACACATGCCTACAAACGCTTAGTGGAGAATGCCTACTAAAAGTATACTGATAGTCAACTCTAGATTAGTTGACAATCAACAGATAGTCAACTAAACTCTAAAGTTGCTTATCTGTTGATCATCAACTAATGGTTAATGACTTAGTAATGTAATCTTTAGTTGACATCTTGACTCTCAACAGATGATCAACAGATAAGCAACTTTAGAGTTTAGTTGACTATCTGTTGATTGTCAACTAATCTAGAGTTGACTATCAGTATACTTTTAGTAGGTTCTCCACTAAGCGTTTGTAGGCATGTGTTAGGACAGGGGTGCCCAACCAGTCGATCGCGATCGACCGGTCGATCGCGGGGAGATTCCCAGTCGATCGCGAGATGTGTCTAAAAATAGAACAACAATATTCTGTTTTATCGTTAATGTCCTATAACATAATCTTTCTGTGCCAGAATAATGCACTTGAACGCATCAAAGCTTTGTGATTGGCCGGCGTGACCCCATGTGTCGGGGCGTGGCTGGTGGGCAGTGGGTACTAGTTCGCTGACGTTGTCCGTGTCAACAGGAGTGACAGTCCGCACACACACAAGACCGCAATTATGGCAGAAGCAAAAAAGCCCAAAATATATAATTTTCACTCCGAGTGGGAGGATGATTATTTTTGTATCTATTCCAATTCAAAGTCCATCTGTCTCATCTGCAATGCGAAGCGTGGCTTTATCGAAGAAGGGTCATTTAGGAGCGGCATTTCAAAACAGTGCACAAACGCTACGAGACGGGATTCCCTCCTAATTCTGCCCTACGCTCCCAAAAGGTGAGGGACCTGAAAGGACAGCTCAATGCACAGCAGTCCATCTTCACCAGGCCCAACAACAAGAGCAAGGCTGCTACCATAGCATCTTATCGTGTCAGTCACGTTCTTGCAAAACACATGAAGTCTTTCAAAGACGGCGAAAGTTGTGAAAGAAGCATTCCTGGAGGCTGCCGACGCGCTTTTTGGGGACAGTAAAAATAACAGTAGCATTTCAACAGGTTTTTGATATAATAAAAACTCAAGTTAGATACCGTTATTAATCAGCTGTAAGTTTTAGTTTGTTTGAACTTATTCATTATAATTATTGTACAAAATGGTATAAGAATGCAAACATTAATATCTGTTCTGTTTAAATTGATTATAGTCTATTATCAATTCAGGTTAAGAAACTAGTGTTGCTTGCATCCTATTTTAAAGGCATTTCTTTTTATACTCTACTAAAATGCAACATATATATTTTTATATAATGGCAAAGAAAGGGTTCAGAGTCTTTTCTTTTTCTCCTGTGTCATATGTGGCAGCACTGTTCAATGTTTCTTGAAAACATTACCCACTGTAGTATGTGACGTGTGAATAAACTCCAACTCTGTATCAACAACACTGTTGTGTAACTTCAGTTAAATACTTGTATGTGTGTAGATTAGAAAGAGGTAAGAGAAAGGATCTGCAGTATTTTATGAAGTATTAATCGTACAAAGGTCAGTTTTATACAAGTAGAAGTGTGTATTTACCTGGTAGTAGGCTGTCAGTAATGGCCTCTCTATTTGGACTGGTAGATCTCGGCAGACTGGCAACTTTAAAAGAAGCTCTCGGTTCAAAAAAGGTTGGGCACCCCTGTGTTAGGACTATCCAATTAACGTGAAAAACAGTTGAGAACAGTAGAAAGTCTATAACCTATCAACAGAACACATTCATCCACTAATTATATGCAACAGACATGGGAATAAAGCGAAATCTTTTGCACAACTGATCACGAACACTGGATAACTGAAGTCAATGCTATAAAGCACAGTAGAACAAACACTATATGCAGCATATCAGAGAAAGAACGCTTTTTTATTTTAATAATATACTACAAGTAAAAACACTGAATAGTTGTGAACCACATTCAATCCTACTAAAGGACTACGAAGTGACTACTACTACTTCTACTGTTCTCAACTGTTTTTCACTTTAATGGGATAGTCCTAACACATGCCTACAAACGCTTAGTGGAGAATGCCTACTAAAAGTATACTGATAGTCAACTCTAGATTAGTTGACAATCAAAGGATAGTCAACTAAACTCTAAAGTTGCTTATCTGTTGATCATCAACTAATGCTTAATGTAATATTCAACTAAACTCTAAAGTTGCTTATCTGTTGATCATCAACTAATGGTTAATGACTTAGTAATGTAATCTTTAGTTGACATCTTGACTCTCAACAGATTATCAACAGATAGTCGACATGACCCTGTTGACTTTCAACTGACTGATTGATTTTGAGAAGTTGATTGTCAATTTTGAAGATGTTGACACAATCTACAGATAGTAAGGTTGAATATCGGTTAATAACCTGTTGCAAAAAACATGTTGACAGTCAACAGACACTTTTTGTACAATCTATAAATCAACACTTGAGATGTACCTTATATTCTACTGGCAGTTAGTTGAATGCATGTTACTTGTCTGTTGAAACAGTGTTGTTGAATGTCAACTGATGACTTATAGAGTGTTAACTATGGACTATCAAAATAAAGTGTTACCCATATTTTCTGTTGCATGTGAGGATGCCTTATCCTTTTTGTGACTGCTCTGACATAAACCTGGAATCTACAAAAATAGTAAACAAAAATATGAATGCCAATATATAAATTGCAGACAGCCTGCTGCATCATTCGACCATTGATGCAATATGCCATCCTGTGTGCAGTTTAGGTTTTATTTTGGCTACATACCACAAGCACTGAAAAATATTCTAGGGCAAACACTGCCAGATCACAACTTACGTCTGTAGCCAGCCTCTGTTCTCCTGCTCCCAGCGTCCTCCTCTCTCGATGGGCTCCTGTGGCTGGTCAGATGCACTGTCCGCACTCGGAGAGGAAATGGAGGCCCTGGTCCAAAACATATCAAGTTTAGGTTGCTGACTTGCCATCAAACTCATTAATGTGCAATTATATTCATTGTGTGCAATATACTCATTGTTGTTTACAGTACATGTATATCATTAACTTTAAACTATTTATTTTTTACTTTTGTCAGTTATGAATCAATAACAACTAGGCCTCCTCCAGAAATGGACCTGGTGGACCCTGAATAAGCCTGTTATTACCAACTCTGTTTATTAACTACTTTACCTGCATTATTATCCAAATCTGAGTGTCTTCTTTTTCCTTTTTAAATACTAAATCAAATATAATTGTGATGTGATACATGATATTCATTCACTTTGATGACATGGCACATTTAGACTGTTGGAAGTGAGGAACTGATTTTTTCTGAAAGCTTTGTCTGCCAAAATATAGTTATTTACCTGCTCGTTTGCATGCTGTCTGTGAACTTCTCGACTAATGAAGACGGGGTCGATGTCCACGTGTGGCATGATCTGGTGGAACAATGCCAGGACAGAACAGAAAGCCTCGTCTTCAAGCATCCTCACAAAGCCACCAGCCTCTCTGACAGTTACAGGATCAAAGTTCACAGAGTCCTCCCTGATGGTCTGTAAACACTTTAGGAGGTCATCCTTTTGCTCATACACAATGTTTACAGCACGACGGTGGAAGTTCCACCGTGTTGTAGAAGCTCTGGGGAGTCTTTGCGCCACCACTTGGTCAAGCACTGCGGTTCGCTTGGGTGATCTGGAGAAGAAGGCAGAAAATCCACCAATGTCTGGAAAGAAGTGCCAATTCTGGGGATGTGTGATGTTGCCTGCTGCATTATGAGGTTCAGCTGATGCGCATAGCAGTGCACGCAGTGTGCATTCCCGTAGACATCCATTACCGTGCTCTGGAACTGCCATCCATGGAGGACCTTTACTCCCAGTGGCTCAGGAAGAAATCACTACGGATTATCAAAGACCCCCATCACCCCAGCCACAAACTGTTCTTTCTGTTGCCGTCTGGCAGACGTTACCGCAGCATCCTGGCAAGGACAAGAAGATTCTGAGACAGTTGCTTCAGTGAGCAACAGTGAGACTGTTAAAAAATTGAACTGCTGAAACAACTTCAAAAACATTCATCTGCTACTCAGTAATATGTATCTAATATCTAATATATATCATTCCAATAACTTGAATATAGACTCGTACTGCACTATTCCACATGCTCACTTTTTTTTATAACTATTTTTCTTTTTGTATTGCTCTTGCTATCTGTATTGTTATTATGTTGCATTGTTGGAGAAGCCTGTGACATAAGATTTTCAACGACATAATTACTCTGTAGCTATGTTAGTTTGACAATAAAGAACCTTGAACCTTGGTGTTCTCATACTTCCTCACTTTCTCAGACAGGTGCTTCATATCCCTCACTCCAGTTGTTGTCCATGCTGCATCTGTCCCCGTTGTTTTAAAAACCAAGCAAGGAAGGCAGAATAAGGCATTAGCATGACTGCATCCAGCCAGGCTTCTGGTGTACCAGCTACGAGAGAAGCCTCGCACATACGGCTTCCATTTGTCACTTGCCTGCTGTTTGATAGCAATATCAGGTTGATCTGCTCTTTCACCGGAAGCTTGTCCGCCAAACTTCTTCTCTCAAACATAACAGTCATACAAAAGAAAAACATATTTTGTTTTGCTGCGATTCTTCTTTCTGTCTCTTTTCATGCACCACATATACTAAAGCAAATTCCTCGTATGTGTAAACCTACCTTGTAAATATGACCGATTCTGAATCTGATAAATATGTGTTTCCTGTTTCCTGCAGACGTCCAGCAGCTGGTGGTGGTTAAAGAAGAGGTTCCCCCTGAGCAGCAGAAGTGGAGCTCCAGTCTGGACCAGGAGGACCCAGAGCCCCCCCCACACATTAAAGAGGAACAGGAGGAACTCTGGAGCAGTCAGGAGGGAGAGCAGCTTCAAGGGCTGGAGGAGGCTGATATCACCAAGTCCACATTCACTCCTGTCCCTGTGAAGAGTGAAGATGATGAAGAGAAACCTCAGTCCTCTCAGCTTCATCAAAGACAAACTGAACACCTGGAAACAGAAGCTGATGGAGAGGACTGTGGAGGACCAGAACCAGCCAGGAACTCAGATCCAGAGAGACATTTACAACCAGAGACTGAGGACTACCCTGGAGACTCTTCTGAACCTGACACTGAAGACAGTGGAGATTGGAAGGAGACCAGAGAACCAGGTTCAAACTCTCAGAAAAATAAACAAGACCCTGTCAGTGATTCAAGACGTAGTGCAGGAGAGAAACCATTCAGCTGCTCAGTCTGTAAGAAAGCTTTTACACAGAGAGGACGTTTAAATGACCACATGAGAATCCATACAGGAGAGAAACCATTCAGCTGCTCAGTCTGTAATCAGTGTTTTACACGAAGAGGAAGTTTAAAGGACCACATGAGAATCCATACTGGAGAGAAAGCATTCAGCTGCTCAGTCTGTGAGAAATATTTTTCAGGGAGAGGAAATTTAAATCGGCACATGGCAATACACACAGGAGAGAAACCATTCAGCTGCTCAGTCTGTGAGAAAACATTTGCACGGAAAGGATCTTTACATCGACACATGAGAAACCACAAAGGAGATAAACCATTCAGCTGCTCAGTCTGTGAGGAGTCTTTTACACAACGTGGAAGTTTAAAGGGCCACATGAGAATACACACAGGAAAGAAACCATTCAGCTGCTCAGTCTGTGAGAAATCTTTTAAACAAATAGGACAATTAAAGGAGCACACGAAAATCCATACAGGAGACAAACCATTCCGCTGCTCAGTCTGTGAGATCTTTTTTGCACGGAGAGGACATTTAAATCGGCACATGGCAATACACACAGGAGAGAAACCATTCAGCTGCTCAGTCTGTGAGAAAACATTTGCACGGAAAGGATCTTTACAACTACACATGAGAAACCACACAGGAGAGAAACCATTCGGCTGCTCAGTCTGTGAGAAATCGTTTACATATAGTGGAAGTTTAAAGTGCCACATGAGAATACACACAGGAGAGAAACCATTCAGCTGCTCAGTCTGTAAGAAATCTTTCACACATAGGGGAAGTTTAAAGTACCACATGAGAAACCACACAGGAGAGAAACCATTCAGCTGCTCAGTCTGTGAGAAATATTTTACACATAGGGGAAGTTTAAAGTACCACATGAGAATCCACACAGGAGAGAAATCATTCAGCTGCTCAGTTTGTAAGAAATATTTTACACAAAAGAGACATTTAAGGACACACAGAAGAATCCACACAGGAGAGAAACCATACAGATGCAGTGTCTGTGACAAAAGATTCACCTGGAGTTGTCAAGTCAAAATCCATAAATGTGTTGGTCGTCAGTCCTCACAGCTTCATCAAACTCAAACTGAGGAGAACAGAGAGGCAGAGCCTCCAGCCAGCAGCTCAGCTGAACACCTGGAAACAGAAGCTGATGGAGAGGACTGTGGAGGACCAGAACCAGCCAGGAACTCAGATCTAGAGAGACATTTACAACCAGAGACTGAGGACAACCCTGGAGACTCTTCTGAACCTGACATTTTCCAAGTCAAATCTGCATGTGTAACAAAAAAAGAGGACAATTAATTAGTACCACGACAATTCACATGAGAAAAATCTGTCTGGCTGTATAAACTCTGTTTGACAATATTCATACATGACTTCATCTAAACTCCACTCTACAAATCTAAATTTGTAGAGTGTGGAAAGATTTAAAACTGTGATGTGTGACACCTATGGAATACCAAAGGTGCCAGAATTAAATAAATAAATACTCTACAATTATTATGAAATAGTATTTCATAATCGTCAGAAGCATTTCAAAGATACTCACATGCAGGAGGGTTGCAGGTGCACCATAGCTCGCGCTGGGTTTACAACGCTCGGAATTGCTAATATACATGTTTAATTATCTTATATCCAGCCCTGCTGACCCGGATTCATCACATCAGCAACTGCAGATCGCCGAGGTCAAGCTGTAAGCATGAGCAAGAGGAAGGGTGGCAGTGACATTAGACAGTTTTTTGGGCAGCCTCAGAAAAGAAAAAAAGTAAGTTAAGAGCAGTGAGAAAATGAGTATTGTTACCAGTCAGATAGCTTGTTTACTGATAATATTTCTTCCATGTTCACTCTGGTGTGTTCAGAGTAAAGAGAGAGAGGGAGAGAGAGAATGTGAGCATGGCGACCGGACAGGGAGAGTGTGCGCTGGTGACATGGAGGTGAGTGAGAAAGGAGCTAATATTGATGGTTAAGACCGAATAATGACAACATTGCAGTCTTAATGTTAATTTAAGATGAGATCATCCTCGTGTATTTCAGATAATACCATCAAGCAGGGAGAGTGAGTTTGACGATGAGAGAGAGAGCAGCCAGGCAGGCGAAAATGAAGATACAGGAAAGGAAGGGGAGGAGCTTGGACTTTGCCCAAATCATCCAAATGTGAAAGTCATACCCAGTCAAACCCTATCAAATAGAATACTCTACTTTCATGAGAAGTGGTTTAAAGATCATACATGGCTCCATTACAGCCCCTCTGTAAAAGGGGTCCTCTGTTTCTATTGTGCTAAATACTTTGCAGCACAAAAGTCTAAGTTTGCGTCCAAAGCAGATTCAGCGTTTGTCAAGACTGGTTTTAACAATTGGAAGAAGGCACTGGAGAAATGTAGTGTGCATAAAGTCAGCCAGTGTCACAAATTAGCTGTGATGACTAGGATTCAGGAGCCAGAGCCTGTTAATGTGCAACTTTCACGTGAGCTTGAAAGACGGCAGCAACAAGCGAGAAGAAATCTGATGAAGATTGCTGGGGGTACTTGGCGCGGCAAGGTCTGGCTTTTCGAGGTGATCAGAAGGAGAGTGGGAATTTAAGCCAGCTTCTAAAGTACAAGGTTCAAGGTTCAAGGTTCTTTATTGTCAATCTGACATAGCTACAGAGTAATTATGTAGTTGAAAATCTTATGTCACAGGCTTCTCCAACAATGCAACATAATAACAATACAGATAGCAAGAGCAATACAAAAAGAAAAATAGTTATAAAATAAAGTGATGATGTGGAATAGTGCAGTACGAGTCTATATACAAGTTATTGGAATGATATATATTAGGTATTAGATACATATTATTGAGTAGCTGAAGAATGTTTTGAAGTTGTTTCAACAGTTCAATTGTTTAACAGTCTCACTGCCCGCGGGAAGCAACTGTCTCCGAATCTTCTTGTCCTTGCCAGGATGCTGCGGTAACGTCTGCCAGACGGCAACAGAAAGAACAGTTTGTGGCTGGGGTGATGGGGGTCTTTGATAATCCGTAGTGATTTCTTCCTGATTTCTTCCTGAGCCAAGGCAACGGGCGATGCAGAGCTGACCTCCTGGCTAAAAGGTCCCCTCGATTTCACCAGTCCGGAATTGCAGAACGAACTGTTGAAGCTGATGGCCAATACAATCATCAAAGAAATTGTGTCGGAAATAACATCAATGCCAGTTCGCAATTATCATTGATGGCACCCAGGATATATCAGGAGTTGAGCAGGAGTCAAGATGTGTGCGCTCTGTAGATGCAGATCTACAACCAAAGGAAGAATTCCTGGGAATCTACCAAGTGTCATCAACAACAGGGCAAAATATAGCCAAGGTGGCATGTGATGTGATGACGCGCCTACAGCTTCCTCTGTCTCAACTCCGAGGACAAACTTATGATGGTGCCGCAAACATGGCTGGACGATTGCAGGGAGTACAAGCCATTTTAAGGAAAGAACAACCGCTGGCTGTGTATTGTCACTGTGGTCCCCACTGCGTGAACTTAATTACGCAGGCTGCCTGTGGAGCCTCTCCACTAGTAAGATATTCAATGGGTCTGGTCCATGAATTGGGGGGCTTCTTTAATCAATCTGGCAAGTTCAAGTTGATTTTCCAGAATATCGCAAAATCAGAGCATGGTTCAACTTTCACCTCATTGAAGCCTCTCTGTCCCACCAGGTGGACTGTACGTACCCCTGCTATCCGCTCAGTTCTCAAGCAGTATGAGTCAGTGCTGATGGCCCTTGAAGAAATGGCATCATGCAGCTCACCTGAAACTTCAGCCAAGGCCAATGGTCTTCATGGAACATTTCTTAAAGGGAACACTGTGCTCGGCCTTTTAATGGCTGAAGAAATTGGGGGTCTTTTGATTTTGATTCAGCGGCAAGCAGCTAGTGCGAGTCGTGACTGTAAAACAAAAGGGCAATAAAGGGTTCCTGTTTCTACTGAAATTGCGTGGCACAGACCTTTCTATGGATTGAAATGCTTTAATATGATGACGGTTATAGTTGTACTTTATTCATCCCTAATCTATGCCATTACAAACAACGAAACAAGAAAAGCTAAACTAGATAAAATAGGGCGATGTAATACAATGCACAATTAGACATTATGGTAAAACATTTTAACCAGTTAAGCCCCAAGCCTGTTTTTCAGGTCTCAGGCTCGAAAATGACATTCCCAGAACAGTTGACCATATCTTCTCTTCTAAAAGGGTTAAATTAATAATCTTTTTTCTCAAAGCAATGATAAACCTGTGAGTTGGATGTAGAAACAATTCAGAATCAATATAGATGTTTTTAAAGTAAATTCAGATTGAACATAGTAAAACAATGTAAATGATTGTGTCCGTCCAAAAAATAAACCATTACTTATAGTAACCACCCTTGAATGGTGGGATAGTAGACTAAAAGCTTTAGGAATCCAAACTATAACATATAATAAGTACCGTCTATCAAGATTGATCCAAAACAAGTATTTCCAAGGAACACCTTTATATGATCATTATAGTTATACAAAATAAGAGAATAACAGGTATGAAATAATTCCAACTCATACTACAGTTTAAAAGGGGAGTGATTTGTAAAATATGCATAAAGAAAAAGTAAATCTGTTCAGTTCTGTTTCATATGGTGTTGAGAGATGTGTCCATAGATTCAGTCCCTCATGTTGCTCTCAAAGTGCACCAGATTGATGCATTTAACTTCAACATTTAAAAACAAATCTTCCCGCGGGAGCATGCCCCCGGACCCCCCTAGAGGAGGTTAGGTCCACCACCTGCCCACACCCCCCGTCAAATTGTCCCACCCACATTGAGGATGCTTCCTACGCCCATGCCCGAGACACAGTTTCGTGAATATTGTTGTGTTTTGCCCCCACGGGCAGGGGCATGGGGTTTAACAGGTTTTAAAGTATCCCATGTGTTAGTGAATTTTTATATATTTTCCTTTAGAATGGCAGGAAATTAGTATTCAAATTTTGATTTAATTTTTGGTCCCCCCCAATGTTGACTCCATGAATACGGCCTTGAATTACATACACGCTATATCGCCCCCCTTGACAGTGAAACGCTACGCGTGAGGTTTAGATTATTTCCCTGTCTCAATCAAAATTGAACTATATGAAATAAAACGGCATATTTGTCTTGTAGTAAATAGAAAGGGATCACTGTGAACGAAGACGGCCGATTTCGGCCTGGTGAAAGGCCGAAATCTTCGTTAGTCGCACGACGAAGCGTGCCCTGTCGCCCAAACTCAATTTGGTGTGTCCCGAACCATCGGCCGTGACACGCCTTATTTGGCCTTTCACGTCCGACGCATGGCCGATTCAACATGTTGAATCAGCCATGCGTCGGACACAGGCAGTCGGACCAAGAAACCACTCTGATTGGCTGTTCAGCTAGCGAATGAGAAGCGAAACGGAAGTGAGGGACGTAAACAAACGATTTAAGAAGGCACACACACACGGCTATTCATTTTCATCTCATCGGTTTATTTGTCATCATGGCGATCTGGAATGAAGGAAATGAAGACCTGCTCATCACCTTGATCCAGGAGAGGCCAGCTCTGTACGACATCACAGAGACAAAGTACTCCAACCGAATAGTGAAAACCGGACTCTGGCGAGAGATTGAATCTCAACTTGGTTTCTCAGGTAAGATTCTCTTTTTTCATCAATTGAGCTCTTTAGCAGAAACTGTTGGTTTTTTATTGTTTGCCAGCGTACGTGAAATGTAATTTGTTATTTCAACCTTGTGTTTTGTTGTTCTCTTGTTGCTAGCTGTTGTTTGTTTGGCACTGCATATAGATATGATTTGGACATGCTAACTAGCCACAATGCTTACATCGTTTATTTGTGTGCTTCAGAGAAAGAGCTGAAGAAGAAGTGGGAATCTCTGCGAACCCAGTACACCCGGTACAGGAGACTTGCCCCTTCGGGTAGTTGTGGAGCACAAAGGACTGGCAGACAGCAGTGGATCCTGACCAGGCTGCAGTTTCTAGAGCCCTTCACAAAAAGGAAGGAGAGTACTTCCAACCTCACCATCACGGTAACTATTTTATTTGTTGAGTACAAATAAGTGTTTCTTGCTTCTTTCATTTACAAAAACATTATTTGCATTCATTTGGTGGTTACAGTGGTAAATATAACAATAACAGAATAATATGTATATTATTCTATTATAATTATTGATGTGCTCATCACCTTAATGTTGCAGCTGGTAAAGGAGGGGCTGATTTAAATTACATGATATACTGCTGGGTAGCTTATGAAATTCACGGGATCAATAACGCTTTTATCTTAACCTATAATAATACATGATAAAATATGTCTTGATTATATTTTGTAGTGTTCTGAATCTTCTAGAAGTACGTTTTAGCATCTGAATAGAGCCATCACAATGTGCCTCTCACACTTGACCACACCCCAAACTAATGGCACACACATGTCAGGGTATTGTTTTGTTATGAATGCTTAGTAAACAGTTTTAAGAAGCCATGGTATTAAATCCAACTAACTGTGAATTTATTTAACATTTTTTAAGGAACGTCTGTTGGCTGCAGAATCACCCCCCGGTGGCACCAGCAGTGAAACCTTGACCAGCACCACTGAGGAGTGCTTCCACTCTGATGCTGAGCCCTGCACCCCTCTGGCAGAATCCACCAGCTGCACCACACCGGCACCGGCACCGCTCAGAGAGACGGTTTTCTGCCCCTCTATTCACATGTAGCCTTTCATACGTGATGGTTTCTTCATTCTCAAACTGTTGTGGAGCAGAAGTATAAAGTTGCAGGATTAGTCTCAAGTACCTCAACATTGTTCTTAAGTACAGTGTCTAAGTAAATGAGATACTGTCTGTTAAGGAATAATTCTTCTAGATATCTAACCTTTTACTCTGACATGTGTTATCTCCTTTAAGGAAAGGCCTTGGTGCCATATGTGTTGTTGTCACCAGTGTGAGACCGGTCAACTTGACTGGCACGAAGGGTAATTGTTGTGAGAACACTGAGGCACTTCTTTATCGGTGTTTGTGGGCTCTAGGATGTGAAATCCTTGAGGCCATGAGCGTCGGACGCAGATGATTCAGTGTTTAGTCTACTCCTTCAGAGATGTTGATTTCTCTCTGTGAACCTGTTAAAAGGTCTAGCATAGAGAGAGGTTCTTCAGAATTGACGTGGCAACTCTACCGTGTGGTCAGAACCTCTGACTCTTTGATTTGTGATGTGAATCCTCCGGCCGAATACTCTGAATAAACCCATCAGTGTTTGACATCAAAGCTCCAACTCTCACCGTGTCTCCTTCCTGAGTCGGTGACTCCATGCATTACTACACAGAAGTTTCCTCCACACTGTCTACCGCTGTTCATTTACCTATTGTGAGTCGCCTCGGATAAAAGCATCACATGGAAATGGAAATTTAGCAAGAAGTGGCCATTATTACATTACATACATTACTACATTGCTGACTCAATAAACGACACACCCGCCAGAACACTGCGATCATCAGATGCAGGTCTATTAACTGTGATTTTATAGTATGTCTGCACTCTATGTGCTTATTTCATCATTCATGTATTTTATATTCTACTAAAACTGAATCAAACCATAAACAAGGTGGCCTGTTGGGATATATATATATATATATATATATCTGCATTATTTTATCCCACTTCATGCTTTGCTCTTGCTGCTTGTTTTACACTGATTTTATGTCTTATTTCTTACTGATGTAAAGCACTTTGAACTGCAATCCCCTGTATGAAAGGTGCTATACAAATAAAGTTATTATTATTATTCAGATGGATGTTTCTGCCCCTCTGTTCATTCTCCCATTATCCTCCTCAATCTGCCTCGAAGTATTTTAATGTTGTAGCTGTTACTATAACCAATACTAATGCTAGGGCTGCAACTGACAGTTCTGTAGGCACATTGTTATTGTTTCTTATCGCTGTGTGATTAAAAGAATAAACACAAATAGCAGGATAGGCAATGCAAAACTTTATTTCGTACCTTCATACACACATAACACAACATTAGAATGAGCTTTTATCAACGCCTACATGATGATAACCCGTCAACATGACAGGGAAATCCACATGACATTAATACAGAGCGGGCAGAACCCAAATCTGCATTCAAAGAATACACTTTACCAAAGCTTGAGGAAAATATCACAACACAACCCCTTTATGAGCCAAACCACCATGAGAGAAAAATATGGTGCTATATCTTATCCCACTGAAAAGGCACTGCACCAATACCGTTAAAATATTGGCATAGTTCATCCCTGTGATGCTTGGCTCGAGCTGGATTATTGGTGGGGTGGCTTGCCGTAGGTCAGGGTCTTGTCTCCAGCTTCCTGGGACAGTGCCATGATCGGGTCCTTCCTGGTCAACAACTCCCGCCATGTATGCGCTACAGTTCTCTGTGCGCAGGAAGTGTCTTGAATGTTTATGGTGGTTAGGAAGACCCGAAAACGGTTGGCTAGGATGCCAAAGGCATTTTCTACCACCCTCCGAGCCCGCGACAGCCTGTAGTTGAAGATGCGTTGCTCTACAGCTAGCCTGCGGTTCAGATAGGGCTTCATGAGGTACTCTTTCAGGGGAAATGCCTCATCTGCCACAATGTGGTAACAAACCGCCTGGTCAGAAGCAGGAAGTGGTGCAGGTGCAGGGATGTTGAATGTCCTATTCTCCAAGGCATCCTGCAGTGAGCATCCACCAAACACACCACCATCTGAAATCCTCCCATTACAACCTACATCTACATACAAGAACTTGTAGTTGCTGTCGACCAGTGCCATTAGCACTATGGAAAATGTATGTTTGTAGTTGAAGTAGGTTGATCCAGTTCCTGGAGGGGGGCGGATGTTGATGTGTTTCCCATCCAGAGCACCTAGGCAGTTTGGGAAGTTCCACTGAGCCTGGAATCCATCAGCTACTTGCTGCCACTCTTCCACTGTGTCTGGGCACTGAAAAACAAAACATATATTTTTTAAGAGCCATGTTTCATATGGCAGACCAAACATGTGCTGTTCAAATGCCTACAGACCTCACTGTATTACATACAGTTTGCACAGTAAAACCAGTAAGTATCCACACATACCTTCAGGTATTTCTCTTTTAAAACCTCGTAGATGGCTGTACAGGTCTCAGGAACGAATTGCCGTATCGTTGACACTCCCACTCGGAACTGGTAGGAAAGGCTCCTGAAGCTTTCCCCTGCAAATATTAACAAACACATAACTGAGTTATCTACACTGAATCTAGCTGAACAAAACACTCATTAGCTACACAACTACAGGTTATAGTTTACAAGATAGTTGATTACTTAAGACATGGATTTAACTTCTGTTAGACAGCTATCATACTGAATAAATATTTACTGTGAATGTATGCAAAAATGTATGGCATATAGCTGTCTAACAGAAGTTAAATCCATGTCTCACTTATTCTGACAATGTACTTAACCCCAAATAAAAGAACCCAATAGAAAGAGTTGTTAAATAATAGTGAAGTCACGTTGTAATAACAATAACTCATCTCTATCAGTTATTTTTCTGCTTTGCCAAAAGCCACTGTGTCAAGTGTCCTATTAGAGTTGCCATATGTAGTTGTCCAATATGGCGGACCATCTCGCACATGCACAGTACAGATCGGGCAGGTGGACCGATCGGGTAGTGACAGTCTTTGCGGTGTGTTCCAGTGCGACACATGGCCAAGACGCAGGAGAACTCGCCGACGCAACAGTCGGCGTCGGCGAGTTCTCTGGTGACTGCCTGGTGTGTCAGGGCCTTAAGGTGGGGCTAAGCCATTTCTTGGTATGGCTGTAGCCTACCCCAGCCATACCCTGGTGCCGCCACTGGTGTCACTGCTTATTATTGTCTGATTTAATATCATCTTGCATCTCGTTTTCCAGATCTTCATACACGTGATGCAAATGACAAGCCAAAAAAGTTCCCTGTGTTTTATGTTCATCTTTTCATCAAGGATACAATACATGATTGATTTATATTTGACATTGAATTTCAAAACCGATGCCTCGTAGGAGTAACTAACCAGACCTCCTCGGCTCTGTAGCAGTCCGTGAGGAGGTGCTGTAAAGTCTCGTCCTCCTCACAGTTAACCATTGGACCTGTTTTAGTTTTGACACAGCAGCTCCATGAGACTACAGCTCTGACCGCAAGTCTGTTGACCGAGATTAGCCACCTCACGTCTATTATATTACAGGAACAGGGGAAATACATATGATATGGATAAAGGTGTTTCAGGAGAAATAAACCAGTTTCTCTCCGCAGCTCCATGTCTGTGTATCTTAAAGGTTTAGGTATTGTCTAAGGGGAAATTATATTCGCTTTTATTTTGAAGTCCTCTGCACCGGAAGTGATGGTCCCGCTCTTTCTAACTTGGAACCAGATCGCGTCTCGTCGGTTCTCTCGCTACATCCATGGTTCTCTCGCTACATCCATGGTTCTCTCTCGGTGCTCCTGAGACAGTGTGTGTGAGCAGCTGATCCATCGTCTGTGTGTCTGGATAAACCTCTGACTTTGTGCTCTTTCTTCTGAAGCCTTTAGCTCGGACTCTAGAAGCTAGCTTAGCATGCTAGCTTAGCATGCTAGCTGGTAACACGCTAGCAACACAGAGTGGAAGTGGTGATTTAGTAAACATGAGTGTTGTGCTGCTCTCGTTGGTGAAGCAGCGACTCACTGCGGCTGCTGAAGACATCTTTGTTCTGTTTGAAAGAACGATAGCAGAGTACGAGGAGGAACTGTCTCGTTCAAAACAGGAGAACGAGAGACACCGGAAACTACTGGACCCTGTTTTACAGCCTCAGCTTCAGATCCACAGAGCAGGTATGTTCCCTCTTTTTCACTCTCTCTCTATTAACTCTCTCTTTATTAGACTGTTCCCTCTTTACTAACTCTTTAGACTCTCTATTATCACGTTAGACTCTTTATTAAATCTCTCTTTTTTCTTCTTCTTCTTCTTCTTCTTCTTCTTCTTCTTCTTCTTCTTCGGTTGGCAACTAACACATGGGTGCATTACCGCCACCTACTGGACTGGAGGGTTGAGCAGTAGATTGGCAGGAAAAATTAAATAAATAAATGCAAATTAAATCAAAATAAATCAAACAAAAAAATTAAATTAATCCTAAATTCTTTCTCTAATTCCAGTTGTTTTAAAGATTTTTTTCAGCAGTTTAAAGACTTCCTCTGATGTCCCTATAGCAGATTCCCCACGGTAAGGCTGAGTTTTCCGTTAGCTAACTTAGTAGCTAGCACTCTCCTCTCATGTTCGTACTTGTGGCAGTCTATTAAAGGTCCCATGTCATGGCCATTTCCACTGATCATAATTACATTGTTGAGGTATACTAAAATAGATTTATACTGTGCAATTTTCCAAACTCACATTGGTTTCGCATACAGCATCTCTGTCAAGCATGTGTATTCAGCAGTATTCACTTTCTCCACTAAACGACTCGTTGGAGCTCTTGCCCCCCCCTCCCTGTGAGCCTAGTGTGCTCCGATTGGTCAGCTCGGCCACTCTGTTCTGATTAGTCAACCACCAGAGAGGCTCCGCCCGCTTTTTTCGGGGAACATCAGTGTTCCAGGCGTCGGTACAGCTGATATTTTATACTAACTAACCGAACTGAACCTACAACTGTTGTTATAGAAGAGTGTGACGGCCCCAGGGCCTTTGTGCAGGTGTGTTGCAGGGCTTACGGTGGGGTGGAGCTGAAGAGGGTAATCAGCGCGATCACGGACACTTCCGTAGCCGGTGCTATTAATCCCAGAAGGACGAACTGAGCGACCCTCTCCCCTCGACCACCTATCTCTGCATTTACCACAATAAATGTGCCGTGGTTTTGTAAACTCGTGTATGTCTCCTTGCCTTTCCGTTGTGGCCTACGAGCCAACATAACAAAGAGTAAGTTATTTTTACCTGTAATAAACTACTACTGTTTGATGAGAAATCAAATCATGGTTTGCTAATATATGAATTCAGGGAAGAAAGGATAGGCCTACTAAGTATTTCCATTAAACTTTATTTTTAGAAATGTACAAAATGAACATAAATATACATATATACACGGTATATCATCCATTCCTCCTCCTCGCATCTTGCCTGCGCACAGTCGGTGCGGTGCGGTGCCTTTTAGCACGTCCCGTCCCCGTCATGGATTGTCCGCCAGGATCTGGCTGGACGAAATCAAATGCAAATCACAAAATATTAGAGAAACTTAGTTGTTTTAGATTCGTTAGTAGTAGTTGTGTAATGAACAGCTTGCCTGCTAATATGCTAACCTAGCTTTGTTTACCTTGGTAGCTAACACGATATGAACGTTAGCTTGGAGGAAAGGCAACTATAATGCAGTGTAATAAAACTACTATGAACAAAAGCTAGTGGTTCATATTAGGCTAGCAATAACGTGTTTATAATTGCAATCGTATACGGGTATTCTGCTACCATACAATGTAACTTGCATGAATACATTGTTTTGCGCTAGCATACAGCTAGCCTCGTTAGCTATACATGTACTGTCACAATGTACGGTAAACCGGAGTATACTGTATGAGTATTCCGTGTGTGTGACTGCAGACATTCTCCTGCCATGACAAACATGTAAGGCCATCTGCTGACATTGTAGTTGATATATTTAAACGCTAGCAACGTAGCATCACAAAAATGTTTTTCCGATTAAATCTAGCTCTAGCTCCGTGTGTTAGATCGCTACGCCAGCTATAATGTAATTACGTTTCGCGACTGACCGCACGGCAGTATACTGTCAATAGGTATTTTGTGTGTGAATGCAGACATTCTCCTGCTATGAGATACATGTATGCAAGGCCATCTGCTGATATTAGAGTTGATATATGGAAACTCTAGCAACTTAGTTAGCACAGTTAGCACTGTGTCAATGGCTTAGCAGTCCAACACAGTTTACACATTTAAACAGTCTTGTTTGATAAATACACAAATAACAATGCAAACTTACAGGTTGTATACCCAGATCTTCCCCTGCTCCAAACGGTCCAAACAAGCTGTGCATATCCGGCCTCAAACTGGGCAATGTTTTGGAAGCTTTCGTCTGTGAAATGCCGGTTCTTCGAACCTCTGGAGGAGGAACACGCCGCTGCTGGTGTGGCCATAGCTCTTCGGGATTGGTCCATTTCGTTCCGGGTACCGCATGACATCAGGCGGTACCCGGAAGAATCAAATGGGCAGTGACGTATCTCCAACGAGGCGTTTTGGGGAGGTATTTTCTGTGTTAGAGTTTTACTCGCTACAGGGTGTACTTTGAGGGTTTTGACTCTGCACACCGTTTACATGCATAAAAACCTTCATAACACACAAGGGGACGGGTAATAACCGGAAAAGCATGACATGGGAGCTTTAAGACATGTTTGACGGTTTCCGGTTTATTGCAATCTGTTCAGAGTCCAGTGGGGTGCATGCCAATTCTGTGAGTGTCTGGTTTAGTCCTGTGTGTCCTTAACCGTGAAATGACCTTTTCTTCCCGTGGGCTCCTGCTTCGTCTTCTAGCCCTACATGTTTCTGGATGCTGTAGAGATGCCTTCCTGTATCGCTGACATCCCAGTTTTCCGTATATGAACATTAATAATGGTTTTAACCTCTGTTTTACCTAATGGTATTTGTATGTCTGTTGACTGTCTTTTTAACGAAAGTTTAGCTAATTTGTCTACTTCCTCATTCCCTTCTACCCCAAAATGAGCAGGAACTCAAAGGAAGGACATTTCAAGTCCCCTACATTTTAACCCAGCATACCGACCTCCCAGATTTCAAGCTCCACAGAGCTGCTAGGCTGTCAGATGCTACAAGAACTCTGGGTTGGTTGTTCTCTTCAACCCATTTCAGTGCTAGCCATATTCCCACTAATTCTGCAGTGAATACTGAGAGATGATCTGAGAGTCTTTTTGTTACTGCTACTTCACATTGAGGGATAAAGAATGCCTGTACGCCCGGTCTCTGGGTCTTTTGAGCCACCCGTGAAGATAATCACTTTATTTTTGTGTTGGTCAATAGGTTTTTGTGCAACCTGGTGTTTGTTTTGGTTTATTTTTTAGTTTAAGCTGCAGACTTGTGTCGATTGCTGGCATATTAAATCTCCACGGAGGTATAGGCGATGATGGAACAGTGGGACTGACTTCTGACCCGCACAGAGATGCATTTAAAGCGCTAGAGCATTTCCTATCCACCCAAAGCTGTTAGTTGTGGAATTATTATGTTCCCAACACTCCAGTAGGATTGCCTTTTGCGGGGTGAGCATGACTATGCCCTCTAATGTTAACCCAATATTTAAACAAAAGCTTGATCCTCCGAATCCGCAGTGGAATTTCACCCACCTCAACCTGTAATGCAGATACAGGTGAAGTTTTAAATGCTCCACTACATATTCTGAGCCTGTACCACATCACGTTTAAGGTTGCTTTCTGCAGCAGACATATAAGCAATGCATCTATAATCCAGGGCTGCTCTCATTAGAGCCCAACATATATTTAGTAATGAGGTTCTGCTTGCTCCCCAATCTCGCCCAGAAAGACATCTTAGTCAATTATTAATCTTTTTGCACTTGTCTCTGGTTTTGTCAATATGTTTGCACCAGGTACGTTTTTCATCAAATAGGATTCCAAGAAACCTAACCACCCTAACCTGTTCTAGGACTTGTCCATATAGTTTAATAAATACAACTTTATGTTTTTTAGGAAAGCATATGACTTTGGTTTTTTCAATTGATAGTTTAAAACCCCAATTGTTTGCCCATTCTTCCACCTTACCTACTAGGGCTGCTCGATTATGGCAAAAATCATAATCACGATTATTTTGGTCAATAATTGATATCACGATTATTAAATACGATTATTCATTGGCTTTGAAAACATCCATTTATTGAACTTTAAAACAAATAATAATTTGAACAGTATATTTTTAACTGTTGATTACCCTGAACGTATAATTCAACTGAAAAACCAATACAAAAATAAATTAAATAAATAATACATTTAAATAAATAATATCCAAATAATAAATACCAATAAACAAGATCAACAAATATTTTGGAGCGCACTTCCACAAGCTACTAAACATATATATAAATATGATAAATACAAATTAATTAGACTAAAATTAATTAGATCAAATATGTTGTAGTGCACTGTCACAACCTAGCAAAGCTAAATAATCGTTTTTTTCGATTATGTTGTTTTGTAATTGTGGCAGGCCAAAATCGTAAATGTGATTAAAATACGATTAATTGCACAGCCCTAGTACCTACTGCAGCTTGCATTTTCCTTTTTAAGAAATGGGGCGAAGCCTGCGAGCTAGTTCAGGCAGCCAACTCGAGCACTTATGCTGCATTCATACATAACGCCCCTTGCCACTCTACAACCAACCAAACATGCCTTAATATGCCGCTCTATTTAACCTGCCAGATATCTCTCTATGCATTGCTGGCTGCTGCTATTGCTGCAGTGACTTCTACGTCGCTGCTGCTTGCCTGCTGGTGCTGTCCTTGCAAATGTCTATTGCTATCTCCGACTCTGGAACCGAATCATCATACGCAAGAAGCCGTTAGAAATGCCTCATTCCCGAAACACAGGCTAGCTCAGAGCATGGTTCAGACACCGCTGGAACGAGCCACAGCTCCCGCACGACACACATCACTCCGAACGAGTGACCGGGTGTCCCTTCCGTCCTCATTCTGGAGTAGCTTTTAATATCCTTTGGGCCAGAGGAAGTCCCGAGTTCTACGCCAGCACCGGTAACAACCCCTCTCTTCACAAGTGTCAGCTAAGAGTCGCACTGTCTCCCTGTCAGCGGGTAATTAAACACC